TGAAACCAAAACTGCAGTATTGGGTGGCATTACAGAGTTTATTCCAGAGATTAAGCGTTGTCGTCGTTTAATTCTGATTGCTTGTGGCACATCGTACCACAGTGCTGTAGCTACCCGTCAACTGCTTGAAGAACTCACTGAATTACCGGTGGTAGTAGAGTTGGCCTCTGACTTTATGGATCGCCATACACCAATTTATCGCGATGACGTCTGCTTTTTCATATCGCAGTCAGGAGAGACGGCGGACACTTTAATCGCATTGCGCTATTGCAAGCAGCGTGGCGCACTCATAGTGGGCATCACTAATACTGTGGGCAGCAGCATATGTCGCGAATCGCATTGTGGAGTGCACATTAATGCTGGTCCTGAAATAGGTGTCGCTTCCACCAAGGCGTACACATCACAATTCATTTCGTTAGTTATGTTCGCACTGGTCATGTCGGAGGATAGACTATCACTACAACCACGACGTTTGGAAATTATATACGGCCTAGAAACACTCGCCGATCAGATACGTAAAGTATTACAGCTGAATTCACAAGTACAGGAGTTGGCTAAGGACTTGTATTTGCACAAATCACTATTAATAATGGGACGCGGATACAATTTCGCTACATGCCTTGAGGGTGCGCTAAAAGTGAAGGAATTGACCTACATGCACAGTGAAGGAATATTGGCGGGTGAGCTGAAACACGGACCCATTGCGCTGGTGGACGATGAGATGCCAGTGCTGATGGTTGTCATGCGCGACCCAGTATATATGAAGTGTATGAATGCATTGCAGCAAGTAACAGCGCGTGCCTGTCGACCAATAATTCTATGTGAGGAGGGTGATGAAGATACAAAAGCTTTCTCATCTAGAACTTTAGAAATTCCACGAACAGTAGATTGCCTACAGGGTATACTCACGGTTATACCATTGCAGCTTCTATCATATCACATAGCTGTATTACGTGGCTGCGATGTGGACTGTCCACGTAACTTAGCGAAATCTGTAACGGTGGAGTAGTAAAGCTGCATGACAAATAGTTTCTACGGAGGAAGAACTTACAGCGCAAACCAATTACACATATGTACACGTTTTTATTTTAAGAGAAATCTGTTTATTTTCCTAGTAAATCATAAATAAGCATTTTAAACTATTTTAACTACTGTTATCCATACCTATCGAGCCCTAACCGCCAAAAGGTCTTAAACGACAATCTGTTCGACTTTCTGTTTTTGACGGAAATCGATTACCCACCACCATACGCACCAGCTGTTTAAATTTCAAAGTCCTACGAAGTACCGGTACAAAGTTATAGTNTTTCTGTTTTTGACGGAAATCGATTACCCACCACCATACGCACCAGCTGTCAAAATTTCAAAGTCCTACGAAGTACCGGTACAAAGTTATAGCGAAAGCAATTTTGGCTTAAGTGCTTAATTGTACTCTGTTTACATTTTTTTGTGCCCGCAGTGTCGGTTAAGCCTTTTTCTCCGTGAACAATTTTTCATTGCAGAGGGAAATTGTTACATTTTTGTGTGAAACTTTTGAAGTGCCTCTATTTTACAAGCTTTTATTTCACTTGCTCTGTAACTTTTTTTAACCGACTTCCAAAAAAAGAGAAAGGCTATCAATTCGTCGGAATATTTTATTTTTATTTTTTTTTATGTAAGTTACAGCATAGCGTTGGACCACATTAGCCGATTTCTACAATTATTTTTTTAAAGGAGAGGTGTTACCTCACCGGTGGTCCATATTAATTTGGTTTAAATCTGTTCATCGGATAATGAAGAAATTAATGATAATCTTAAGTTTGTAGTCGTTTTTGTTTTTCGCTTAAAAATTACTTGTTTATACAATAATTAATAACAGTGAAACAATTTCATTCTTTACATTAAAATTTAAAGTATGTATACTGTTTCTAGTAAAAGCTTTTATTCATATATAAACGGCAATGCCTTTGATTTTTAGTTATTTGATGTGGGGTTCCATAAAATTAATGGTGTTTAGTAAGGGTTTTATGATCTAAAAGTTTAAGAACCTATGTTATAGAGAAATAGTATTTTATCCAATAATATGTATGTATGTAGTTGTTTTCTTAATAAGAGGAATACAAGAAATGAGTTAAAGGCATCAAAATGGTTTTTGTTAATGCAAAAACATGTTTTTTTTAAATATATATTTTGGCTTAACCGCCGCAATTGCATGCTGTAGCCTTTTTTGTGACGACAAAAAGGGTGTAAGCGACAATCACCTGTTTCATTAAAGTTGGAAAAATAATACCACCAGTATTATATACCTAACATCAAACGTAATTTATTCATTGACCTTCACGTTAGTATCTACAGTAATTGCCGAGTCAATTAAAAAAACGCCCACTGTAAAATTTACTTTTTGTCGCTTACGCCCTTTTGGCGATTAGGGCTCGATATGTACTGTGCTATTGGTAATATGTATATAGTACATACAAATGGATTGTAAATATATATGATTCACATAGTTATGCGAGTGTATACATATGTACATATACCCGTTAGCATTATTTTTGAAATGTGCAATACATTATCCAACGAAATACATACATTTAAAAATGAGTTTAATTTCCTAGTTAGCAGGTGAAACCACAACCAAAAATTCTGTTGTTGTTGTTATAATATCATATAAATTCCTGAAAGAGTTTTTGGAGTTGCTGGAGTGACGGTCCTTGGCCAGATATAAATCTGTATCGTTCCGGTTTACATCTCTATACATATATATGTGTAATTAAACCTGCGATTTGTTTATTTAATTTTTTCATTTCCATATGAGAAAAGGCAAACTCCCTCCTGTGGCTGAGAAAGCTTCGAAATAAAGAAGTTAAATAGTAGGGGGAGAAGACATCCCCCTATGGAACCCTTTGCTTAATTTTTATTGCTTTCGATATTTGTTTTCGAAAGGTTAATGACGACTTCCCACCACTAATATAACTCACCGTTCGAATCCCTGTGGGAAAGAAGCATCGAGGCTTCTTGGAATGACGGACTCTGTCAAACTCCTTTGACAAGTCCACCGCTAATAGGACTGTTCTCTCACAGGTGCGGTTTCGGTTAAGGCCACGAGTTATCTGAGTGCGTATTGTGTTAAGTGCGGTGGTTGGGTTGTGCCCTTTGCGGGAGCCATGTTGATGCTTTGTCGCGGTCAGGAGGTATGAAAGTGCGGGAGTAGTGTCTTCGCTACGGGGAAACGAGTGTTATAGGTCGATAAGACACCCCTTTGTAGGTTGGCTTCCCTGGGTTCCACATGGACAGGTTGAGGACCTTTCGTCGACCCAATGGTCTTGGAGGCTTTCGGCTTCCCGATGGCCTCCTGGACCCCACCGCTGGTAAAAGCGAAGGGTGCAACATTTTTTGACAGTTTTTTCAGCCTTCTGATCACTCGACGCTTGACCTCGCACATTTTTCTTCCGGTCCGACGAGGCGTTGCCGTCGAATAAGATTGTCTTGGTTGTTTACAACCCGGTCCTATGGATGCTAGAAGCGCGAATTCATATATGGTGGTGTTACCGGAAAACCAATCCTATGTATGTAACACAATTGGCTAATGGTTTGCCGAGCCGTAAACATAGTTTACACATCAAATTTCGTAAGTAAGTACCTGGTACTCACACCTTTTTTAAGAAGTTTCACTTCTATCATGTGTACGGTGCTACACACGCCTTTTTTATTTTTTATTTTTATTTTACCATAAACATTATTTTATTTTATTTTATTAAATTTTGTTTTATTATCTTTTTGTTTGTTTATGGTATTTCATATAATTATTTCGTTATTAATAAAATTTTTTGGAGTTTAATTTTAATTAAAAAGGCCAGAACAACTATAATTAAATAACAAAAATTTTAATAATATTCAAAAATTTTTATTTAGCTTGAGGCCGTTTTTAATGAAAAGCAACCATACTTTGAAAAAATGGTAGAAGTGATAGCTATTTCGGAAATCACATTTCCTCATCAGACTTCTTTCAGTAGGATTAGAACCGACGATCCCACTGACTCAGCCAGTTGCCTACGCACTGTGTTAAGTTCGCCTTGTAAATGATCGTTGCTTTTTTCCCACTTTTTCATCTGTCAAGCCAACACAATCAAGCGCAGCTATTCCGCTGCAATTCACACTTGGCCATGTGGTTGTTAGTATTGTTGGTTTTTTTTAATATTTCTATTTTTAGAATGAACCGACGATCCCTGTGCTCGACCTTAAGTTATTTGTTTTTGTTATTTTATCAAGCTCATTTTATTAAAGCTCAATAGAAATTGTTGAATATAATTGTTATAAGGCCATAAAATAACAAAAACAAATTTAAATAATTTTTAAAAGAACAAAAAAAGATATAAAACAATTGTCCTTGGCAGTGGGATTCGAACCCACGACTTCCGGCTTGCTAATATGCAATCCTACAGCGGACACAGGGTGAATTAATAAAAGTACTCATATTTCTATATATTGCCATCAAAAAGCTGTTTCTATATGCCGGTAGTAGTGCACTTTACGGGAGCCAGGGCAAAATGGACGGAACAAATCGAGTGTGGTATCAATCGAAGCGTTTTAACGCGAACAATAACAATCCCTTCGGAATTAAGATTTTTAATTAATTTAAGAGTTATTCGCAAAAACCACTTGCACTTTACACTTTTCGCACCTGGTTTTGACTAACATAAATGGAGTAAATGAATGTTGTTCTCAGCAAAAGGTGTTCAGCCTCCCTTCTTTGGCATCACAGAACGGAGAATTCTACTGCCTGAGGGTTATAATCCCTAAGTGCGGCCGAAAGCCGCCTACGCAAAAAGGAGTTGGACGCCTGGTTCCGCTAAAGTGCACTTTTATCTAGATGTCTATGATTAACAAAACTTAAAACTCTATTCTATACCTTAAAACTGTATTTTAACAATAATGACTTTTAACTTCCGACTATGACTATGGGCCATTGTTTTCTCCCAACTACATTAGCATGCAACACTGTGTATGCGTTCGACAACATTTCTTCATCATCCACATTCCACAAATGTCATAACATTTATCAAGGAAATTTTCTTTAGCAATGCGTTTTTACGAGAGTTCAATAAAAACCGCAGGAATATTAAATAAAAAATAATTTTAACCAGTGTCCAATCCAAAAACTCATTAATCTGTGGCAAATATAGTTTAGAAAAGTGGAAAACTACCAACTATGACAGTGGTTGAAGGGTTGGCGACAACGTCTGCCGCAGCAAATGCGGCAACGAGGCCGCGTTGTTTTTTCGATATTTCGATCGGTGGACTCAATGTTGGACGCATTGTATTTGAACTGTTCAAAGATGTGGCACCCAAGACAGTGGAAAATTTTCGTGCTCTCTGCACCGGTGAAAAAGGCTCTGGTTTGGTTACGGGCAAGCCATTGCACTATAAAAATGTTATATTCCACCGCGTTGTAAAGGATTTTATGATACAGGCTGGCGATTTTTCGGCTGGCAACGGAACCGGAGGCGAGTCCATCTATGGCGGAACTTTCGAAGGTAGGCATTGGCATATATGTATGTACATAAAATATTTGTATTTATTTATTTATGGAGAAAGTGGCCTAGAGCGTTTCTCTAATAACACGAAATGTATTAAAAAAACATCCAATTAGATTAAGTACAGAATATATTTTAAAAAGCTAAAGGTTAAGTTTCAAATTACATTTATTGTTACTAAAATATAAAAGTGAGACCAGGCTATAAGTTTATTATATGCATGGTAGGTTCTGTATGTAGCCTCGCCAATAAGCATACCACTACGTAATTCCAGAGTTGGCTAATTCGTTTTGAAACTATTGCGAATTTCTTGGTATTGCGTCCGTATAAGATGTTATAGACAAACATGACAGATAACAAGAACCACCTGTCCGAGAGGGCACACCATTAAAGGAACCATTATGGATGACAGTACGGAGTGCCAAAATACGGCACTCCGCACCGCGACTGGACGCCTTCTGATGTTGTCACAACGCCACCAACATGAACATAACACAATGCTCTGCAAGCAGTTCCCTTTATATTGCCACGCACACGTGCACCCGAACAGACAGCATTTGCAGAAGAGCCCTCGCCAAGGACCTTCAGGAAGCAACAACAACCACGAACTGACGGACGAAGTGCAGAGGTTCATAAAAATCCTCTGGACCGGTTTGTCATACCGACAGGCCTTGAACGATTTCACATAGACTCCTGCAACATTGCCTTGAAAGTACTAATAGGGACGCCAGTACCATAGGCCAGTGCATTTAATTGAATACGAATTTGGCATATTTCCTATGGATAATTTCTATCCGTCGCTGGTGGGAGAGATTTGAAAGTAAAACGGTCCGTGGAACCCTCATGGTTTCGTTTTATAAACCATAACATTAAATACGCCTTGTTAAAAACGAGTTTTACAAGCGGTGAGAATGTTAGATTGCTTTTAAAGATGATCGTTAAATCCATAACTTCGGGTGTCAGTTACCACATAGCGTTCCTTGTATGGTCTTTTATAAGTTTAATGAGTTTTAAATAAGTAAAAGCTAGGCGCCGTGATTAGTTGAGACATGAAAGTAAGAAATTATGAAGAGCATGAATAGAAGAGGTTTAAGATGACCCCTTGAGGTATGGTTTACATATCGTGGTTTAAAGTGCAAAACCGCGTATCAACAAAATGCAAAAGCGCGTATCAGCAAAATTCAAAACCACCTATGTATAGTTATAGAAATTATATTCTAGAGCATAGCTGGGCACACCAACACAGTCTCATTTTGTCATGGTATTAGTGCGTCGCGCTCAGTTATGGTTGCCGCATTTTTTATAAATGTACTAAAAGTGGTATTTTTCGTGCATGGGTATTTTGGCCTATTTTGCTTATACCTATAGTGTAATAATGAACCTTGGAAGTTTTTAGTAACTAATACTATTAGTTTATACAACCTTTTGCATAAGAAAAATTTAGTACTTGTATAATTTAAAAAAACTTAAATTAGGTAAACTCATTTGTATAATACCTGGGCTCCGTTTTATTAGAACAAATTCTTTTATATGCTGACCGGCCAGATGGTTACGGTGTTTAGGTCTTATTTTTTAACCGACTTCCAAAAAAGGAGGAGGTTATCAGTTCGTCGGAATCTTTTTTTTTTTTTTTTTTATGTATGTTACCGCATAAGTTTGGACCACGTCAACCGATTTCGATAATTCTTTTTGCATCGGAAAGGTAGTGTCTACTAATCTGGTTAAGATCCGATCAGTGGATCGTGAGATATATATATATATATATTTTTTTTTTATATGAGAGTTGAAGTCGGTTTTTTTCTTGCTAAAAATTACTTGTT